CTGCTGGTTCCACCCCCATCAAGGCGCATGCCCAGGTTTTAGGAGTATATGGAAGACAACCAATCAGAACATCTCTCTCTCTCTCTCTCTCTCTCTCTCTCTCTCTCTCTCTCTCTCTCTCTCTCTCTCTCTTTCCCTTCCCCTCTGTCTAAAGTCAGTAAGCATATCCCCTGGGGAAGATTTTTTTTTTTAAATGTGGTTTCAAACTTTTTTAAAAAAATATATTTTATTGATATTTTACAGAGAGGAAGACAGAGGGATAGTTAGAAACATCGATGAGAGAGAGTCATCGATCAGCTGCCTCTTGCACACCCCCTACTGGGGATGTGCCCACAACCAAGGTACATGCCCTTGACCGGAATCGAACCCGGGACCTTTCAGTCCGCAGGCCAATGCTCTATCCACTGAGCCAAACCGGTCTCGTCATGGGGAAGATTTTTTTTCATTCCATTTTTCTCTGGTGATGTTGCCCTACTTTTCATGTGCGTATTGGCAATTGGGCAACCTCTTCCTGTTAAAGTCTGTGGCGCACTCGGAAGATGACCCCCAATGAAGCAGCGTGCCCCTAGGATCATGGCCTTCCAGCCCCTTCTTTCATTGCATCTGGGCAACAGAATGCTGCAGAGACAGCGCTGGGCCATCTGAGGCCCAAGCTTCAGAGGCAGGGCAGCTTCTGCATTGGAGCGCTCTGGAGTTCTGAGCCACCAGTAAGAAGTCTCTGTATTTATTTATTTACTTACTTATTTTATTGATTTCAGAGAGGAAAGGAGAGGGAGAGATAGATACATCAATTATGAGAATCATTGATTGGCTGCCTCCTGCATGTCCCCCACTAGAGATGGAGCCCGCAACTCTGGCATGTGCCCTTGACTGGAATCGAACCTGGGTCCCTTCAGTCCTCGGGCCGACGTTCTATCCACTGAGCCAAACCGGCTAGAGGGCACCAGTAAGAAGTCTCTTCCCTGCTGGAGAGACATGGGTTGGAGGAGTCACCGAGAGGACAGGAGCACCAATGGGCCTTAAAGCTGGACGCAGGCAACCGGAGGCTCCTCCCTCCCCTGTCTCTGGGATGTGCGCCTGCCCACCAGCCCCACAGGCGGAGCGGTTCGGAAGGACAAAGACGTGAGAGAGCAATGTGTTGTTGAGGCCATCTGGATAGTATATGTGACTAAACCCAGTTCGTTTTAAAGAGGAAGGGAGAGAGAGAGAGAGAAACATCAATGATGAGAGAGAATCATTGATCGGCTGCCTCCTGCATGCCACCTACTGGGGATCCAGCCTGCAACCCTGGCACGTGCCCTGATTGGAATCCAGCTCAGGACCCTCCTGTCCTCAGGCTGATGCTCTAGCCACTGAGCCAAACCGGCTGGGGCCTCTGTGTAAACGTTGAAGACTTGGGTGAATGGGACAGAGAGCTTCTTCTCCTTTTAGTCACCCAACTTCAGCTTGTATGCAAGCTCCCTGGCTTGTTAGCCTGCCACCACCGGGGGGGGGAGGGGGGGAGTGGTCTGCCTCTCTCCAGCCCCTCCTTGTGCTCCCTGCGTGGAGGCCAATGTGCAAAACAGCGCCATGTGGCGTGGCCACACACAAAAAGCCTGTTTTTGGGTTGGTCAGCGAGAAAGATGTGAAGACAGGAAAGGGTCAGAGCGATGCAATGTGGATGCATCTGAAGACGGAGGAGAGGGGCCACACGCCCAGGAACAAACGCAGTCTTGGCAGCCGGCAAAGGCAAGGACGTGAACTCTCCTTAGAGCCCCAGGAAGCAACACAGCCCTGGGGACCCCACAGTGTTCGCCCCGCAAGACAAGTGTCAGACTCCCACCCTCAGAATTGTAAGGTAACCAACCTGTGTTGTTCTAAGCCACTAAGTGTATACACCTTGTTGGGTCAGCCATAGAAAACTAATATAGTTCCCCTTCCACTAGTCCAGTGGTCGGCAAACTGCAGCTCGCGAGCCACTTGCAGCTCTTTGGCCCCTGAAGTATGGCTCTTCCACAAAATACCACGTGCCAGCGTGCACGTACAGTGCGCAGAAGTCGGTTTTCTGCTCTCAAAAGAAATTTCAATCGTTATACTGTTGATACTTGGCTCTGTTGACTAATGAGATTGCAGACCACTGCACTAGTCAGACCGGCAGAGAGCTGTGTGTCCAGGTGCTGTGTCTCCTGCCCAGAGGGGTGGCCATATCACCATGCTATTGGCTGTGGTTGGCTGTGGTGCTATTGCCTGGCCCTGAGCGGCACCGTAAACACCAGCTTGTGGAACTCTGCTGCTTTGCCACGCTCCGTGCTGAAGATTCCATCACACCAAGTGCCCTCTCCGTGAGTTCCTGCGAGAGAGAGAGAGAGAGAGAGAGAGAGAGAGAGAGAGAGAGACTCCTGCTTGGCAGTTCGGAAGCGAAGAGCGGTGGTTCTTAGACAAGGCGCCTCGGGGTGAAGGAGCGATCGGAATCACCTGGGCCGCTCTGCACACTGGCATGGTCCACGGGAGAAAAGACAGGGAGCGGGTAGGAGGGTGCTTAAAGCAAGACGTGCGTGCCATGAAGACCCTCGCTGCGTGCGAACCGCTTGTCCAATCCAGTTAGCTCTCCAACATTCCAGTCCCAGGACCTCCTGACAGCCTTACAAATGATGGAGGGATCCCACGAGCTTTTGCTTATGTGGGTTATATCTTTTGATATGGATTGCATTTTAAATTAAAACTGAGAAGTGTTTGCCCTGGCCAATGTGGCTCAGTTGGTTGAGCGTCATCCCCTGAACCGAAAGGCCACCGGTTCCATTCCAATCAGGGCACATGCCTGGGTTCGGGCTCAATGGGCATGCAGGAGGCAGCGATCAATGTTTCTTTCTCATTGATGTTTCTCTCGCTCTTTTCCTCTCCCATCCTCTCTCTCTCTCTCTCTAAAACCAATAAAAACGTATATTTTAAGAAAAAAAAAAAAAAAGCCTGGGAGGGGGCAGGAGTGGGATGGAGGGAGTTAATGGGGGAATTAAGTTGTAATACTTTCAACAATAAAAATAATTTTTTAAAAAGAAAAAAAGAGAAATAACTTAAAATATTTATTGAATTATTTAAAAGTAATAAATCTTGCCGAAACCGGTTTGGCTCAGTGGATAGAGTGTCGGCTGCGGACCAAAAGGTCCCGGGTTCAATTCTGGTCAAGGGCATGTGTCTTGGTTGCGGGCACATCCCCAGTGGGGGGTGTGCAAGAGGCAGCTGATAGATGATTCTCTCTCATCGATGTTTCTAACTATCCCTCTCTCTTCCTTTCTAAAAAATCAATGTGTGTGTGTGTGTGTGTGTGTGTATATATATATATATATATATATATATATATATATATATATATTTTAAGTAATAAATCTGTTAGGCTCATGAAAACCTGCATGTTTCTCGTCTCTGCTCCTGGACCCAGTCCTTTGGGATATTATACACCAAGAGCCTTTGAAAACCCACATGGCACACCTGACATGAGAATGGTTCTGGCTTGGGCACCCCTTGAAAGGGTCTTGGGCCCCCCCCCCCAGGAGTTCCCGGACTATATTTGAGAACTGCTGCTCTAAGACATCATTCCTTTTTCTCTTTTTTTTCAGAGAGAGAGAACGAGCGAGAGAGAAACATTGATTTGTTGCTCCACTTATTGAAGGAGGGAGAGACTGGGAATTAAAAACCCCCATGTGGTTCTCCTCCTACCCTCTAATCCCCTCCCATGCCTGAAACCTTCCAGATGCAAGGGAGCCCGTGATGTGGCCCATGGGGTCACTCTCTGGGGGAACAGATCGGCGTGGAGAAGGGGGGAGAATAAAAATGGAGGCAGGGCCCGGATGGTGTGGCTCAGTGGTTCAGTGTTGACCCATGAACCAAGCGGTCACGGGCTGGATTCCAGCCGGGGCACATGCAGACTGACAAAGGCTGCATTCTGTGCAAGCACCCTGCTGGCTGGCCCTCCCAGTGTGCTCTTTCTTGGTTCCAGGAACCTCTCCCTCTCTGCTCTTCAGGCAGGGCTCTCCATTGTTGCCAGCCCCAGTTGCTTCACCGTCCCTTGCTGGTTCCCGTTAACCCTGCCTACACCTTTGTAAATAGTTCCTTCATTAACTCTCCTCGATTTCTTTTTGAGATTCCATATGTGTGGTGTGTCCTCTTTCAGACTTTTTAAAACTTATTTCTAGATAGAAAGGGGGAGGGAGGGAGAGAAACATGGAGGGACTGCTTCCTGCATGCCCCCTACTGAGAATCGAACCGGCAACCTTTGGGTGCACAGGAGGACACCCACACTGGCGAGGGCACCATAGGTTTAAGGGGGCTTGTGTGGATGTAAGCTGAGGGGTTGAGTGACCTTCCCAAGGTCACTCCCTCAAAAAGGAAGTGAGAGAACCCCTGAGAGTACTGACACCGAGAAAGGTGGAGTCTTTTCCAGCCTGGCCGACCTGCCCAGCCCCGTCCTGGAATCCCGTGCCGGCCCAGCCTGCGGAGTCTGTGATCCTTTTGTTGGGATGGGATGGGGATTGTATTCCCCAGGGCGCCCTTCCCGGACAGCCCACAGCTTCAGTAACCAGAGCTGTGTGAGAAGAAAAGCCCAAGCCACCAGGGAGCCACACCCCAAACAGAGGTGAGGTCCAGGTGAGTCAGGCCAAGGAGGGGCCGCCTGTCCTGTCCCAGAGGCCGGACTCCCTGCAGCCCTGCCTCACGGCCTGGCCGCCCAGCCCCCGGCTATCCTTCCTGCTGGCCGCACCCAGCAGGTGCCTGTAACTGGGACATCTCCTCCACCCCCCGGGCCTCAGAGATGTGAGATGGGACAGGGCACTGGGCTGGGCCTTCAGGCTCCCTACTTCCCCCTTCCAACCCCAGAGCCTCTCAGATTCCCAGAGATGGGCTCCGGCCAGGAGGGTGGGGCTGCTCCCGAGACCATTAGGAGTCACGGGCCGGGGCCTGAGCAGTGACAGAGCCGTGGCAGGGAGACACCTTCACCACCTCTGTGCCTCCGTAGACTCAGATGTGCCATGTTCCAGCACCTGCTTCTCCCTCTCGTGACCCTCGGTAACCGCGGGAGAGAGGATGGCTGCAAGGGGCCTGGTGCTGGCATCTAAGGAGCCGGAGAGCGGCACGCCTGAGCACTGGCCGGCGGGTCTGGGGTCAGGAGAAGGGGCGGGGGCCATCTGAGGCAGAGGGAGTGGGGTGTCCAGAGGAGAAATTGTGAGGAGGTGGGAGGGGCGAGGCGGCCTGGCGCAGTGGAGAGGCTGGAGGGGCGAGGCGGCCTGGCGCAGTGGAGAGGGAGCAGAGGTAAGCCAGGGTCGGAGGGCAGGCTGTGAGGGCTCCCCAGCGCTCCCTGTCTCCTCTTTCCAGCCATCAGCCCCCTCCCAGGAGCTTCGCAGGATCCAGGTAAGGCCGTGAGCTGGGGAAGTCAGGTGCAAAGGCAGAGGATGAGGGCTGGCATGGGTGCTGGGGCGGGGAAGGGGGTGCTGAGAGGGCAGGAAATTGGGGGAGAGGCAGGTGGGTGGGGTGCAGAAGGAAGCTGAGGACTGGGCAGCGCCAGGCGCTGGAGTCTCAGCATCTCCCGCTCTTCACCCTCTGACCCCAGCGCGCAGTCCCGCTCAGGAAGAACCTCAGGATCTGGGTGAGGAGGGGCTGCGGGGCTGCGGGGCTGGGGCTGGCGGCACTGAGGGAGGCGGACAGGGCCGGAAGCCTGCCAGTGCCCAGCCCTCTTTGTTCTTTGTTCGGGGCGGCAAACGGAGTGGAGCGAGGACCGGAACCTTGTCCTGAGTTACCTGGGCCTCCGGGGTGGGGGCCAGGGAAGGGATGTGACCTCAGGGTGCCCCTCCCCCACGCAGACTGCGGTCGCCCTGAGTCCTCTGCACGAATCGTGGGGGGCTCAGACGCACAGCCGGGCAGCTGGCCCTGGCAGGTGAGCCTGCACCACAGCGGGGTCCACATCTGCGGGGGCTCCCTCATCGCCCCGTCCTGGGTCCTCTCCGCCGCTCACTGCTTCATGGAGTGAGTATGCACCCCGTCCAGCTCCCGCAGCCCGGCCCCGAAGCCTGACCCTCCGCAGCCCAACCCGCAGGCTGACCCCCCACAGCCCGGCCCCGACCCCGCAGCCCGTCCTTGCAGCCCGGGCCCCGCAGCCCGACCCCTAGCCCACCCCGCAACCCGACCCCCGTGCACAGCTGATTTGCAGACTAGCTGCCCCCCCCCGCCCGCCCTGCCCCAGAGCCAGGTGCTGTGTGCGGTGTCGGGGTGTCGGGCTGTCGGGGTGTCGGGGTGTCGGGCTCTGAGTGTGTGGATGCTCAATACCCAAGTCAAATGACATCGCCCCGCGCCCCAACCCATCTCCCTCCTCCGCCTCCGGCGCGGGGTCCTGCTCCCCCGCTTCTCCCAGCCCCGAGCCCCACCCCATGGGGGCGGCCTAACCCCTCCGCCCGGCCTGGCGCAGAAACGGGACCCTGGAGCCGGCGGCCGAGTGGACGGCGCTGCTGGGCGTGCACTCCCAGGACGGGCCCCTGGACACGGCGCAGGCCCGCGCGGTGGCGGCCATCCTGGTGCCGGAGGGATACCGCGGCGTGGAGCACGGCGCCGACCTGGCCCTGCTGCGCCTGGCCGCGCCCGCCCGCCCCGGGCCCGCCGCGCGCCCCGTCTGCCTGCCCCGCGCCGAGCACCGCTTCGCGCCCGGCGCCGCCTGCTGGGCCACCGGCTGGGGCGACGTGCAGGAGGCGGGTGAGTGAGGGGCGGGGGCGGGGGCCGGCAGGGAGGTCCTCCGAGCGACCGCGCGGCATCTCCAAAAGCCGGGCCTCCCGGTGCATCCACCCGGCACCGAGGAGGTGGGTGTGGAGGGCGGGCCCGCGGGGCGGGGCCTGGAGGCGGGGTTGCAAGGCACCTGTAAGGGCACCAGGTAAGCGGTCCCTCTTTCTTTTATTCAACAGATATATATATATTTTAAAAATATATTTTATTGGTTTTTTACAGAGAGGAAAGAGAGAGGGATAAAGAGTTAGAAACATCGATGAGAGAGAATCATCCATCAGCTGCCTCCTGCACACCTCCCGCAACCAAGGTACATGCCCTCGACCGGAATCGTACCTGGGACCCTTCAGTCCGCAGGCCGACGCTCTGTCCACTGAGCCAAACCGGTTTCGGCTCAACAGATATTTTTTGAGCACCTTCTTGTGCCTGGCACTGTGGTAGGCGCTAGAAATATGCTAATGAACATAAGCAAAAATCCCTGCCTCCTCCCTTTACATTCTAGTGGGCAGACATAACGCTGGGTGTTTTTTTTTTGTTTTTTTTGTTTTTTTAGCTAAATAAGCAAACACTTATGTTGGAAGGTAAATCCTCATCTCAAGGAAGTTATCTTTCATGGTAATGAGGCCCCACAATAATTCCCGTCTGTGATGAGACCTGTGCAATGCCAAGCCTTTAGAGAGGATACTGGGGAGGAGACGCCACAGCCTCCACCTGCAGGGGCCCCATCGGGGCAGGAGGGGACAGGAGGGTCGATCGGGCGCCTCCAGAGTCTGTGTGGCTGGACCGGCCATCTGACAATGGGGAGGTCTTGTGAAGTTAGGGCGTATGCTGGCATTTCAGGAAGGTGGGGCGATATGGAGGCTATCCTGGAAACCAGGTGAGGCGTCGTCGATGGAGAGGACTGTCTCACCTGGAAGACAGAGATGATAGTGGAGTGGAGTGCAAGAAGTGGCAGCAGAGGCTGCAAAAGCTGGTGGGGCTGGCCTGGATGGCGTGGCTCGATGGTTGAGCTCCGACCTATGAACCAGGAGGTCATGGTTCAAATGGAGGTCAGGATACATACCCGGTTGTGGGCTTGACCCCCAGTAGGGGGCATGCAGGAGGCAACTGATCAATGACTCTCTCTCTCCCACTACTTTCCTCTCTAAAATAAATTTTTAAAAAAAATATATATTTTTTTTAGAAAAATATATTTTATTGATTTTTTTACAGAGAGGAAGGGAGAGGGATAGAGAGTTAGAAACATCAATGAGAGAGAAACATCGACCAGCTGCCTCCTGCACACCCCCCACTGGGGATGTGCCTGCAAAGGTACATGCCCTTGACCAGAATCCAACCTGGGACCCCTCAGTCCGCAGCCAAACCGGTTTTGGCAACAAAAATATATTAAAAAAAAAAAAAAAAAAAAAAAAAGCTGATAGGGCTGGGCCATGAATGCCTTATGGTCAGACTGAGGGCCAGAGTCCCCCTCCAGCTCCAGGGATAGCCAGGACAACCCCTAAACTTCCCTGTCAGACCCTGAAGTGCACCTCAGCCATCACCTCCCGTCCTGGGATTCTAGACAGGGAGGGAAGGAGCTTGTCCCCTCGCTCACCCACTTTTGCTGGATCCTGAGACGTTATCTCCTTTGAATGCGGGTTCCCCTGAGGAAAGGATGGAGCCCTCAGGGTTAGACAGTGGGATCCATCGGGTTGTCCTTGGTAAGATCAGAGCAGAACTTCAAAAACATTTCTCCAGCAGCAACACGTGGTGGGTTGGGGAACAGGCCAGTGAGGAGGCCAGGCCCACGGGTAAGCCTCCTGAACTGGGGAAGTCGCAGTGAAAATGCCAAGAGGCCACAAATGACGGGTGTTCTGGGCTTGAGAACTTACTGAAGGGGAAGTGGAGACAGGGTCAAGGATGACACCCTGGCTCCATGCTGGCTGGGCACGTCGGTGCAGTGTGAAACCATAAGCTCTCGATGGGTGCTTACGGGGTCCCTCTGGAGGTGAGGGTTCGGGAAGAAGGGTGGAGAGAAGCAGGAGAGGATGATGGCCTTGGATGTGGTGGGCGGAGGTACTGAGCATCTGACGGACAGGCCCAGGAGGCAGCTGGAGGGGACAAAGCTGAGCCCTGGGGAACAGGGAACTCCACCCCTGCCTCACAGCATTTCTCTCTCCTTCTGCCCGCAGACCCCCTGCCTCTCCCCTGGGTGCTGCAAGAAGTGGAGCTCAGGCTGCTGGGAGAAGCCGCCTGTCAGTGTCTCTACAGCCGGCCCGGCCCCTTCAACCTCACTTTCCAGCTATTGCCAGACATGCTGTGTGCCGGCTACCCAGAGGGCCGCAAGGACACCTGCCAGGTGAGGGCGGTCCCTGCAGCTGCCTGACAAGGCCAGGCAGAATTGTAGCCAATAGGAGGCAGCCAGGCAGAGCTGTAGCCAATAGGAGGCAGCCAGGCAGAGCTGTAGCCAATAGGAGGCAGCCAGGCAGAGCTGTAGCCAATAGGAGGCAGTGTGAGGATCGGACAGGTGCCATCTTTCTCATATCTATGAGCCTTATCTGCCAAAAGAGGACAAGATGCCAATAGATGGCACTGATGTGAAGATTATAACTAGACAGAACTAACTTGGGGCTCAATGGTGGGCACTGCTATTTATGGCAGCATGAGCAGTGGCTATGTGCCAGACTCTGGAGTGAGTTTAATTTTATTTAGTGTCTACCGTACCGGGTTGACTCACTCCAGAGTCTGGCACATAATCATCACATATTAGCTGTGCAACCTTGGCCAAGTTATTTAAATATCTCTTTATTGATTTCAGAGAGGAAGGGAAAGGGAGAGAGAAACATCAGTGATAAAAGAGAATCATTGATCGGCTGCCTCCTGCACACCCCTCCACTGGGGACCCAATCCAGAAACCCAGGCACGTGCCCTGACCAGGAATCGAACCGTGACCTCCTGGGTCATAGGTAGATGCTCAACCACTGCGACACACCCATTGGGCACCTTGGCCAGGTTACTTAACCTCACGGCCAGACTTTCTCATCCAGAAGACAGAGATGATAGTGTTCCCTACCTCAGAGGGTGGTTAGGATGATTAAATTAATTGCTACATGTAAGCACTTAGAATAGTATGTGGTTTTTAATAAGAGCTCAATAACTATTAGCTATTAATATTATTATAACCCCATTTCCAAGCTCTCACTGGGAGCTTGATGGGGCCATTCCAGAGATGAGGATGTAGAAGAACAGAGCATAGTATCTATTAGCATATACTCAATCAATAGTTACCTTTAAAAATGAATTAATCCTTTACAGAAAGGAATTTTCCAGATCACCTTCTGAAGGCCAACATATAGTATATTATAACTATTTCCCCCACAAACCTTGCTCAGATTACACACATTTTTAGAGTACTCAGCCTGGGTGGTGGCAATGGGGATTCAAGCTAGCTGGTCTTCAGGGTTCCTTCCAATTATGAAGTTCTGTGATGGTGATGGAAATACTCCATATCTGCACTGTCCAGGGTAGTAGTCACTAGCCACATTGCCTACTGAACATTTGAAAAACATCTGTAATATGCTTAGTGTAACTGAGGAATTAATTCTTTAACTTTATTTTTAATACATTTTTATTGATTTCAGAGTGGAAGGGAGAGGGATAGAAACATCAATGATGAGAAAGAATAATAGATTGGCGGCCTCCTACCCCACCCTCACTTGAGCTTGTAACCCAGGCCTGTGCCCTGACCTGGAATTGAACCATGACCTCCTGGTTCATAGGTCAGCACTCAACCACTGAGCCACACAGGCCAAGTTTAATTCTATTTAGTGTCTACTATACTGGACAGCACAGTTCTAGAGGGTTCTGAGCTTTCTTTGTGACCCTGTTCAGGTCACATGGATACCTGACTTGGACTGTAGAGATGTCATAGGGACAATTCCTCTAAGCATGAAATAGCCCTCAACCCGTTTTAGTGTCTGTTCATTGTAGTTCTCCCTCCTGTCTCTCTGCTGCTTTTACATTTCCTATTTTTAACAGTCTCCTAAATGCTGGCACCTCTGACTCACTTTAACAATTGGGTGATCTTAGAAACCCAAAGCAGCATCTATCTGAGCTATTCATCGAACAAGAATCATTTGGCTCTGAGTGTCTCCCTGAAGGCCTGAAGGTCCCTCTGGCACGGCCTTTGATGAATTCGTTTGTCACTTATCTTGGCTGTTCCTCATCAGCCTTTCTGCTTTACAAGTCCTTTTTTTTCCCCCCCCCAAGCCAAACTGTACCCAGTTTTATTAAAGATTAGTAGCCCATTACACAATATCGCGTGCAATAGGCCACCCGCCACTTCCTCGGGAGCCAGTGGGAATCAGTGTGCCACAGGAGCGAGCCTGGTGCCGGGAGGGAGCCACGATGCTTCCCCGGGAACCAGGCCCACCATCTCCTCTCTGGGCGGGTGGCTCCCTGTCCCCCAGAGGCCCCCTGAAGCCAGGGTGTCACCGCGGTGATGAAGCAAACATTCCATCAGGCCGTTCCCGCTGCCCACTCAGCGGCAGCACCCCCAGGACTGGGGGACTCCCTCGAGGCTAAGAGGACTGGGCACTGCCATCTTGTGGCTATGGGTGCTGCCATCTTTGTGATGGAGTGATGGTTGATTTGCATATTACCCTTTTATTAGATAGGATACTTTTCATAAACAACCATGGTATTTCAGGCAGGACATGGGCAGACAATCATTAACAGTATACAACTTTCCAACTCCCTTCTTCAGTGAACTGTCAACATCAGAAAGCCACTGTAAGACCCAATGAAGTCTTCATCTGATGCTCTCGACAGGGAAAGTTTAGCGTGAGTGCTGACATTTCACATTAGCATGCTGTTTTACAACTTTTCACAAGCCGACCCTGACTCTCAGGAATTGAAATATCAATCTGTGGATCCACAATCTAAAAAGGAACTGCTAAAAAGATGATAATAATAATAATAAAAAGGAACTGCTGCTCTTGTGAGGGATGCCATCTCCGTGGTGACACTGGAAAGTCCAGATCACCAACATACTAGAAACCAATTTTGGGGGGTCAGGTCCCAACAGGTCTCTGACTTAGGACAGCCGAAGTCTATGCATAAAGTGGAGAGGGAGGAAAGGACATAAAAATAAATTTTAGTTTTCCACACCTCGGATGTTTGTGCCAAGATGGCTAATGGGTGTCAACATTAAGAGATCCCTCCCCCCAGGGACCAAGAGGAGGTTTCTCCCCCACCCCCATGTCAGTCCAGCTTTGGAGAAATTCTATTAGAACTATATGTCCTTTCCCCCAAATAACAATGACGTGTTCTGTGTGCTTACAGCATAGCTTTATTTTTTTTATTTTTTTAAAATATATTTTATTGATTTTGTACAGAGAGGAACAGAGAGAGATAGAGAGCTAGAAACATCGATGGGAGAGATAGTCATCGACCAGCTGCCTCTTGCACACCCCCTACTGGGGATATGCCCGCAACCAAGGTACATGCCCCTGACCGGAATCGAACCCGGGACCTTTCAGTCCCCAAGCCGACGCTCTATCCATTGAGCCAAACCAGTCTTGGCTAACAGCATAGCTTTAAAAAAAAAAAAAGGTAAAACAAAATTCTACTTTTTTTTTTTAAATATATTTTATTGATTTTTAACAGAGAGGAAGGGAGAGAGATAGAGAGCTAGAAACGTCGATGAGAGAGAAACATCGGCCAGCTGCCTCTTGCACACCCCCCACTGGGGATGTGCCCGCAACCAATGTACATGCCCTTGACCGGAATCGAACCTGGGACCCTTCAGTCTGCAGACCGACGCTCTACCACTGAGCCAAACCGGCTTTGGCCAAAATTCTACTTTTTAAAAAATATATATTTTATTGATTTTTTACAGAGAGGAAGAGAGAGGGATAGAGAGCTAGAAACATCGATGGGAATCATTGATCAGCTGCCTCTTGCACACCCCCTACTGGGGAAGTGCCCGCAACCAAGGTACATGCCCTTGACCGGAATCGAACCGGGGACCTTTCAGTCCACAGGCCGATGCTCTGAGCCAAACCGGTTTCGGCAAAATTCTACTTTTTTTTTATTTATAAAACTTGATAAAAATAGTATTTCAAACTGTCCAATCACCAGAAACACACAGTTACCAAAAATACACACACTTCACTTCGCATCTCCAGCACCTTCAGCTTTCTGCCTCGTCTGTTTTGACGTCTCCATTTTCTGCAGGGTTATTTATTATTATTATTATTCCCATCTTTGCCAGCATCAGCTTTCCCTTTCGCTACCTTCTCTCCCTCCTTTGCAGGGGTCTCTGAGGCTGGGGCTCTGGCTCTGGAGGAGCAGGTTGAGCTGACAACCTGGCGGATCTTCTCTGTGGCTCGTCCTTCACCTTGGCTTTATCTCCTTCAGCATCCCCTTCAGCCTTCCTCTTGGGCGTGATGGCGACAGTGGCGGGGCATCGGAGCAGGATGCAGGGATGCAGCAATGGCTGGGCCTTGCTGGTCCGGGGGTCGATCTCATCTCCACCTCCAAGTCTCTCTTCTGCTTAGAGTCGTAGGGAATACAGAAGCTGACTCAGCCAAGGCAGCCTCCTAGGAGAAGGTGGCTGTTTGCTGGTCCAACAGGAGGTGTAAAACCTTTGGAAGGTGGCCCAGGATAAGCTGGCGGGTCCCTGCGCTGGTCCCCTGACACAGAGACATCTCTCATCAGGGAGACTCGGGGGGACCCCTGGTCTGTGAGGAAGGAGGACGGTGGTTTCTGGCGGGAATCACCAGCTTTGGCTTTGGCTGTGGAAGAAGGAACCGCCCTGGAGTCTACACTGCGGTGGCTCCCTACGAGGCATGGATCCGGGAGAAGGTGATGGGCTCTGAACCTGGGCCTGTCTTTCCCGCCCAGCCCCAGGGGCCCCAGCCAGGCCCCCCGGAGCCCGTGGATGAGAACTGCACCATTGCCTTGCCAGGTGAGGGGGAGGACCCCTGGGTGTCCACTGGACATGGGAGATTGAGTTGGGTGGACAGTGCTGGGGTCCCTGCACTGACCCAGGCCTCTCACCCCTCAGCGTGTGGGCAGGCCCCGAGGCCAGGGGCCTGGCCCTGGGAGGCTCAGGTGATAGTGCCGGGATACAGGCCCTGCCACGGGGCGCTGGTGTCTGAAAGCTGGGTCTTGGCACCTGCCAGCTGCTTTCTGGAGTGAGTGCAACCCCCGTCTCAGCCAGATTCCTGCCCCTCCCCGCATCGGCCTGGGTCCTGAGTGGGGGGTGGCGGGGAACCGCAGCTGGAGTGCGGGAGGGGAGTTCCCCTGGGGAGGTGCAGGATCCAACTCACAAAGCGGGTCCTGGCCTACGGGAGCGAGGAGAGGGGTTAGTCTCAGTCCGACCCAGGATATGGAGTCGGAGTGCCCAGTGCCCGGGCGGGGGATACAACATCCCCGCCTGGAAACGGAGCCTAGCGCAGGGGAGAGGTTCCGCGCCGTGTGCGGAGCCCGGCCCACGCCCCAGTCTCCCGCCCGCAGCCCCGGCGGCGCAGACCGCCCGCCCCGCGACCTGCACGGCTGGCGCGTGCTGCTGCCCTCGCGGCCGCGCGCCGAGCCGGTGGCGCGCCTCGTGCCGCACGGGAACGCTTCCTGGGACGACGCAGCCGACCTGGCGCTGCTGCAGCTGCGCGCGCCCGTGAACCTGAGCGCCGCGCCGCGGCCCGTGTGCCTGCCTCACCCCGAACACTACTTCCTGCCCGGCAGCCGCTGCCGCCTGGCGCGCTGGGGCCGCGGCGGTGAGCAGGGGCGCACGGCGGGCTGGCGCGGGGCCCCGCGGCGCTGCACGCGCACTCACGCCCTTTTCCCGCCCTTTTCCCTCCCAGGGCCCGCGCCCGGTCCCAACGTGCTGCTGGAGGCCGAGCTGCTGAGCGGCTGGTGGTGTCACTGCCTGTACGGCCGCCAGGGAGCGACAGTGCCGCCGCCGGGGGACCCGCCGCACGCGCTCTGCCCCGCCTACCAGGAGGAGGAGGAGGCCGGCCGCTGCTGGGTGCGCAGCGGGGCGGGGCTGCGTGTCGGCGGGGCGGGGCCTCGTGTCGGCGGGGCGGGGCGGAGCGCTCCCGGGACGGGTTGGGGCGGGGCCAGGCGCGCTGGGGGCGGGGCCTGGCCCTGGAGGACCGTGGGGGAGTCCTGAGGCAGCTCTGGGCTCCGTCGGGCTTTCCCGCTACCCCTGGATTTAAAGGGATGATTGACTACAGATCATTAATGGAAGCGGTCCTGGAGGAAAGCCCTTTGCTATCCTCTCATGGACTCTCTGGTGCCACACGCACGCGCGCGCAGAGGGGGTAACTCACTCTCTTGCTGCAGAACGACTCCAGTTGGAGCCTTTTGTGCCGGGAGGAGGGCACCTGGTTCCTGGCTGGAATCAGAGACTCCTCCGGCGGCTGCCTGCGTCCCAGAGCCTTCCACCCTCTTCAGACCCACGGCCCGTGGATCAGCCATGTGACTCGGGGAGCCTACCTGGAGGACCAGCTGGCCTGGGACTGGGGCCCCGAGGGGGAGGAGACGGAGACACAGACTTGTCCGTCCCACACGGAAAGCGGTGGTGAGGAAGGAGGCCTTGGGCTTGGTCCTGGGGGTGCTTGGACCCTGGCGGAGGCTTCAGGGGTCCGCTGTGAGACCCCCCCTGAGGCGGTCACCTCCTCCCCCTAGCCTGCGGCCTGCGGCCAGAGCCAGCTCCCACGGGGCTCCTGTGGCCCTGGCTGGCTGAGGTGCACGTGGCTGGTGATCGAGTCTGCACGGGGGTCCTCGTGGCACCAGGCTGGGTCCTGGCGGCCACTCACTGTGTCCTCAGGTGGGTCTCACCCATCTCCTGGGCAACGGGAAAACTGGGAGAGGGGCCCAGGATTCTTGCCATTGTGGGATACCCCCCTGTTAGGGCTCTTAGAGCACAGGGGAACCTCTGGGGAGGGTTTTGAGGCAGAAGGGAGATGTGGAGGGAGCAATAATAAGGGAGACAGTGGAATAACTTTGGGGATTCGCCCATCCCCTCCCCTGGGCTGGGGAAGGCCTTACCATCAGGGGGATGCCGGTTGAGGATGGGCAGGAGGTAACTGTGGGCCTGTCCCCACAGGCCAGGCTCCACAACTGTGCCTTACATCGAAGTGTACCTGGGCCGGACCGGAGCCAGCCCCCTCCCACAGGGCCACCAGGTGTCCCGGGCGGTCGTCAGCATCCGCCTGCCCCGGCACCTAGGCCTCCGGCCCCCTCTGGCCCTCCTGGAGCTGAGCGCCCGGGTGGAGCCCTCCCCGTCAGCCTTGTCTGTCTGCCTCCACCCCGGGGGCGTCCCCCTGGGAAGCAGCTGCTGGGTGCTGGGTTGGAAGGACCCCCAGGACCGAGGTGAGAGCTCTGGGTGCCGGGGGTGAGACGTGACCAGAGGCCAACATCCCTGGGACAACCTTCTCTCCTCTCTCTAGTCCCTGTGGCTGCTGCCGTCTCCATCTTGACGCCACGGCTCTGCCACTGCCTCTATGACGGCATTCTGCCCCCCGGGACGCTCTGTGTCCTGTACGCAGAGGGGCAGGAAGACAGGTGTGAGGTACAGGGGCCTGGGTGTCCTGCCCCAGGGAGGGGGAGGCAGTGCTGGGCAGCTGGACCCCGGAGAGAGGCTCTGCGGGTTAAAACTCTTGGGTTCGGGGTCTGAAATGGGTGGAAGCGGTGTTTCCTGGTTGGACCTAGGAGAGCGACCAGGGCTCTGGGTGCCTGAGGATGGAGACCAGCAGGACTTCGGGCTGGACGCTAGGAGAAGGGGCAGGGACTGGGAGGAAGGGGAGGAGACCTTGGGGCCTGGCTTTTCCTCCACAGGTGACCGCTGCACCTCCGCTCCTATGCCAGAGCGAGGGAGGCCCCTGGGTCCTCGTGGGCATGGCTGTTCGAGGGAGCCGGGAGCTGTTTGCCGCCGTCAGCCCCGAAGAGGCCTGGATCTCCCAGATAGTGGGAGAGGCCCATTTCTTGCCCTCCAGTGGCTCCCCCTACTGGCCCCCTGAAGGCAGCTACCTCTGTCCTCCGGACATGGCCGGGGCCTCAGGCTCCCCTCCTGCTGCTCTGTTCCTGCTGCTTCTGACCCCCCTGATTCAGGACTGAGGGGTCTGGCTCCCGGACCACCTCCCCTTCTCCTTCCCCACCCTCTCCAGCCCTCTACTTCCTTCCCAGTGGGGTTGGAATGCGACTTAACCGGCTTTCGATCCCTTTGCCAGAACCTCCAGAGCTCCCCACCCACCTAGACTGCAATGGCTTCAGACAATTGGGCCTCAGTGCCTGGATATTTTGCGCCCTGGAATCCTGGGGGCAGCATGAGCGGCAATAAAGGTGTAAATAAAGACACGTGGCCCGTGGCATTGCAGAGGGCAGGCTGGGGGGACAGAGGGAAGCCCAAGGGGTAGGGCCCCTCCCTCCTGGCTCCGTGAGTCAGGCTTTGGGCTCCCAGGAAATGTGTCCCTGATAACGTGGCAGCTGTCCCTCATTCCTGCTGCAGGGCGGGGGAGGCTGGGCAGCCAGCTGGGTGTGTGTCACCTCCCCAGTGGAATCGGCATCCCAGCACCTGCTGGACACCTCAGCCCAGCTCTGAACCTGCTGCCCCGCCCCCCGCAGTCAGGAGGACTGGGGTGAGGGTCACAGAAGGAAGGGTCCAGGGCTCTGGGAGTCCAGGGTGTGCCCACACTATCCTGTACCCACAGAGGGCCACCTCCATCTACACACCCTGATGAATGATGTCCCAAAACACTCACCTCTAGTGTCCCCAGCACCCATATGACCTCTATACCCTACGAGGGTCCACAACTGTCACCTCCTGCCCTCGGGCTTGAGGCCCATCACCATCCTCATATATTCATCCCTCACCTCGCCCAGCACTTCTTGGTCCACCTCCCTGCATTAGTTCAGGCACGTCCTTGCTGACTACTAAGTCATGGCACAGCTGGGGTCAGGGATAAGCCCACGAAGTATGTAGTGGGGACACAGACGGACACCCCTGGCTGGGGATCAGGAAAGGGCCAGAGAGGTGAAGTCTGAGCACAGGAAAAGAGCAGATGGGGACCTGGGGAAGGCGAGTGCTTGTGGCGGAAGCCAGAAGATGGAGGAAGCAGCGGCGTCACTCTGGGCTGGAGTCAGATCTCTGGTTGAACAGGCAGAGGATGGCGGAGGGCACACCTACAGGGCAGCTGGAAGTTTCCCTTGGGAGTCGGAGGAGGTGGGCAGAGGTCCTTCAGCTGCCAGGTCCCAAGTAAACATCTCCTTGAAGCTCCATAGGAACGTACATCCCACTTGCTCCCCATACTCAGTCACCCATATGCCATTCCCCACAAGCATTTCTTAAAATAATTTTTACTGATTTCAGAGAGGAAGAGAGAGAGAAACATCAATGACGAGAGAATCATCGATCGGCTGCCTCCTACACGCCCCACACTGGGGATTGAGCCCACAACCCAGGCATGTGCCTTGGCTGGAATCAAACCTGGGACCCTTCAGTCCACAGAGTGACGCTCTAGCAGCGAAGCCAAAGCAGCAAAGGCTGCCTTGCGGCCGCTTTTCCATACCCTCAGTTCTGAGGGCACTTCCTTCAGGAGTCCCTGGTGCCGGCCTATCTCAGCTCCTGGAAACACTTCCCGGGTCCCCCATTCTCCCTTCTTTCTCGCCGTTGCTGGTTTGAAATTATTCTGTAATTGCTTGTGATTATTTGTGTCAGAGTGAGTTCAGGGAAGGCAGGCATGGTGTCTGTTTTGTCTCCTGGCCTGGAACAGAGTAGGCACTCGGTAAATATTTGTGAGATGATTGGCACTGCCAGACACGCTCACCGCACACCGATGAGGCTGCGGCTCTTTGGAAGGGCCTGAACCGGCCCAGCCTGGGCGAACCAGGCTCTCAGGCCCAGATGAGGGGCCTAAGACGGGAAGGGGGTAGGAGCTCCCTGGGAGAACACGGCTGAGCCAAGCCCTGGGAGGCATAACTGGTTTGGGAGACCTGAAAGCCCTGGGCCACAGCGCTGTGGCCCTCGGGGAGCTGGGCCACTGGACATTCCATTCCAGCCTGCCCGGGGCTGTTGTCCGGGACAGCCCAGCGCCGGCCCGGCAGGCACACACTCACCTGGGGCTGCGGGGCCTGGGGACGGTGGCGCAGAAGCTGGCCGCCCGGCTGGGAGGGCGGGGCGGAGGGCGGGGCGGGCAGGTAGGTGCTTTTCTCCCCAGCTGCCACCTGAGGCTTTCTGCGGCCAGGCAGTGGGAGACGTGTCCGCTGAGGGCTGTGCCGTCCCCTTTGTGCCTGCTCCTGCCGGGAAGCCAGCCTGCGAAACCTGCCCCGCTCCTCCCGCGCGGGCCCAGCATCCTCCCTCTGGGCCGCTCCGGGATCTTGCCGTCGGAACCAGCCCTAGGTCCCTTCCCTTGGCGTCTGCGTCTCCCCAGGGCCCTCACCTGGGTCATGGCCCAGAGGGCAGGCCTGGGGCCTAGGCGGCTGGAGGCCGCTGCCATTCTGCTTTTGCTTGGACTGGTCCGGCCCGGGCTGGGTGAGTTGTATGGGCAGGGGGCATGGGGAGGGGTTCTCCTGGGCTCAAGGACCCCCGCACCCTAGCTCTGGGCTTCTCTCCCGCTCCGGCTGGGGCTTCCAGGGGGGATGGGCAGCTCTCCTGAGAAGTGGCAGGTGCTAAGAGGTCTGGGAACCCGGGGCTTTCCGGCTTACCCCTCCCTCCTTCTCTTGCCTTCCAGGAGCTGAGGGGCCGGGGCGAAGGTGAGGCTTGGGGGGAGGGGGAGGGGGGAGACACAGACTGAGATTCCCTGGCGTGTTTGATGAGTGCCTGACCTCTCACCCACCGCAATGTCTTAGGTCCCACAATAGCTCTGTGAGAGGGGATTGTAGCCCGCGTCCTCCAGATAAGAAGCCCAGGTGCAGAGAAGTGCTTTGCCCAAAGGGCACAGCCAGTCAGAGCTGGAATTTGAATTCCTACGTGGATTGCTTTGAGGGAAACAAACCAAAGGTCTCCTGTCTAAGGCAGCCAGCAGACTCTGAGTCCTGGCTTCACCACTCGCTGAGCTGGGCTTACTGCTCACCTCGCAAATGAGGCCGACTGCGTTCATCTCCTGGGGCTGTGTGAGGAGTCCTGAAGAGACTGGCAGTGAAAGCCCCCTCCGGCCTCACCTTCTGTAGGATTGTCATTATTCTGAGGAGGAGCCTGGCTGGGCAGTTTCCTCTGCTCCTGGAAGGTGACTTTGAGAAGGGCAGTTGTTCCAAACCGCCAGCCTCAGGGGGCAGGGCAGCCTCCGCTGTGGGAGCCCAGCTGCTCTGTTCCTTTGTTCGGTGCCGGCATGGTGACCTGGGGCGCTGCTGGGTCCCAGCCGTGGGGAGTGCCGGGTGGCGGTGAGGCACAGGAGCAGGGTGACTGGGCAGTATCAGGGAAGCACAGCCTGGGAGCTCTGGTGCACCGCCTGACTCAGGCACAGGGCAGGGCAGGCCAAGGAGGGGCTGCCATAGGCAAATGAAATTGGCCTAGCGAAGTAGGGCTAAGGAAAGGGATTCTAGGGAGTGACCTTGATGAGCCAAGATCCAGAGGGGAATGAGTGCTGGACCCCATGTCTATGACAGGAAGCGTCCCGATGGTTGGCACTGTCATGGGAGGGCTGGGATGTATCTTAAGGGCATCTTAAGGGCAGTGAAACAAATGAAACCAGGGAAGGATTTAAGGTGGTGTCACCTGGCCAGATTTCTCCTTTATAAAGGTCTTCAGACTTATAAGGGTGGATTGGATAGGAGGCAGAAAGTCCTGGAAGGAAGGGAGGGAGGGAGGGAGGGAAGAAGGAAGGAAAGAGGGAGGGAGGGAGAGAGGAAGGAAAGAAGGGAGGAAGGAAGGAAGGAAGGAAGGAAGGAAGGAAGGAAGGAAGGAAGGAAGGAAGGAAGGAAAGAAGGAAGGAAGGAAGGAAGGAAAAAACGGAGGGAGGGAGGGAAGGAGGGAGGGAGGGAGGGAAGGAAGGAGGGAGGGAGGGAGGGAGGGAGGGAAGGAGGGAGGGAGGGAGAGAGGGAGGGAAGGAGGGAGGAAGGGAGGAAGGAAGCTATAAGAGAACTGAATGAGGGCACTGGTCAAGGTGGCCAACTGACCTCGCCTGGTGAGCAGTGGGATGGGGACAGAGGGGTGGCCAGCTTCTGTGAACTTACTTCCCAGGCTCCAAACCAGACCTCCTGGGCCTTATTGGGAGTGAAGGGCTAAGAACAAGGTATGGAGGCCCCAGAAGGGCCTGACCCCCTCCCCTTCCTCCCTCCCTGGGCAGCCTCTTGCGGTGTGGCCTCCCAAGCACGCATCACAGGTGGTAACAGTGCAACCCCTGGCCAGTGGCCCTGGCAGGTCAGCATCCTCTATGATGGCAATCACGTGTGTGGCGGTTCTCTCGTGTCTGAGCAGTGGGTTCTGTCGGCTGCCCACTGCTTTCCAAGGTACCAACTGGGTTGGGGGCAAGGTGGGGATGCCAAAAGTAGGCTGGAGGTCAAAATTCAGGGATCAATTTAGATAAGAGGTTGGGGTTCTTGGATTGGGTCTAGGGCAGTGGTCGGCAAACTCATTAGTCAACAGAGCCAGATATCAACAGTACAACGATTGAGATTTGTTTTGAGAGCCAAATTTTTTAAACTTAAATTTCTTCTAACGCCACTTCTTCAAAATAGACTCACCCAAGCCATGGTATTTTGTGGAAGAGCCACACTCAAGGGGCCAGAGCCGCATGTGGCTCTCGAGCTGTAGTTTGCCAACCAAAGGACTAGGGTTATCAATGAAGTCTGAAAGATAAGTCAGGAATGAAGGTCAGAGGTCACAAATCACAGGATAAAACTAGGGCACAGTTTGTAATGTAAAAAGTCCTTTGCTGGGATCGGAATCTGGGGTTGGATGCCACAGGGACCAAGGAGCCAGGTCTCCTGGGTCCCAGCCTTTGTCCTCCCTGCATGCAGGGAGCACCACAAGGAAGACTACGATGTAAAGCTAGGGGCCCACCAGCTGGACTCCTACACCCCTGTGGCCGAGGTTCGCTCGGTGGCCCAGGTCATTTCCCACCCCAGTTACCGCCAGGAGGGCTCCCAGGGGGACATCGCACTCGTCCGTCTCAGCAACCCCATCACCTTCTCCCGCTACATCCGGCCCATCTGCCTCCCTGCAGCCAATGCCTCCTTCCCCAACGGCCTCCAATGCACTGTCACTGGATGGGGCCACGTGGCCCCCTCAGGTGAGGTGGGCACTGATGCCTAGGGGCTTGGAAGGAGCCTGACTCAGGGTAGGAGGCCCTGGCTAAGCATCTTTGCCCCCACAGTGAGCCTCCAGACCCCCAAGATACTCCAGCAACTTGAGGTGCCACTGATCAGCCGTGAGACGTGTAACTGCTTGTACAACATCAACGCCAAGCCTAATGAGCCCCACACTATCCAGCAGGACATGGTGTGTGCTGGCTATGTGGAGGGGGGCAAGGATGCCTGCCAGGTAAATGAAGGGGTCCAGTGGAACCAAGGAATCTTGGGAAATGAGGGCTGGCATGGGTGACTGGAGGCCTGGAGCCTGGGCCTGACAGCTGTTGTATGGCTTTTCTCCTCAGGGTGACTCTGGGGGCCCACTCTCCTGCCCTGTTGAGGGCCTCTGGTACCTGGCAGGCATTGTGAGCTGGGGTGATGCCTGTGGGGCCCCCAACAGGCCTGGTGTGTACACTCTGACCTCCAGCTATGCCTCCTGGATTCACCACCATGTAGCGGAGCTCCAGCCTCAGGTGGTGTCCCACCTCCAGCAGTCCCAGCCCGACATCCACCTCTGCAGCAAACACGCGGCCGCCTTCAACTCTGCTCCAGGCCAGGGTTTGTTGGGGCTTACCCTTTTGCTATCACCAGCCCTGACCCTGGGCCTCCTCTAGCCATGGTGGGAGCACCGAGCTACTCGCCCTGGAGGTTGACCCCGTTTCTGGAACTGTCCTATTGTACACAAAGACAGACGCCTGTTCTCAGGAATGGACCTGGCCCCTTCTCGACAGTTTGCCTGAGGTTTTAGTCACTCCTTCCTCCCAGGACCCTGTGGGAGCTCAGGGCACCATCATGACCTTTGAGCCAACACTCCTGGGTGTGTTCTTTGGGACTGTAGCCCAGAACCAGGAATTTAACTGCCTGTGGTACTGGCTAGAACCTCTGGCCACCTCCTGCCCACAAGCCTATTGGTTGGGCTCCTGTGGAGCTCCCAAGGAGCCTTAGCTAAGATGGGCCCTGGCTCTGAGGTTTGTGGAAGACTGGCAGCTGCCCGGCTGAATGCTGCTGAAGGGTCGACATGTTCTGCCTGCTGAGCCCCATTACTGTGCCCTCCTGCCGTCTTCTGGGCTGGAGTTGCCTCTGAGCAGCATGTTTCCAAGGACAGAAAAGGCCCCAATCTTGCCCCAATGGCTGCCAAGCCCCACCGTGTCGATTCCTGGACTCCGGAGGACTGAGCCCCCACCGGAACCGGGCTTGAGCTTGGATCTGGGGTAGAGGGTTAAAGGAGCAAGAAGGAATAAAATGTTTTGAGCATAACTGGCTGTGTGTGTGACATGCCGTGAATAACATCAGCTCTTGGCTTCTTCCTCCCGCCTCCAAAGTCCAGAGCCACCGGCAGAACTTAGTTTATTAAAAAAAATGATGAAACAGGCTGTACATATTTACAGGCGAGGGGGCAAGGAGGCACGGGTCCAGCAACGGGGGCACAGGCCACTCACTTCTTGGAAAGTTTGACTTGCTTGTGCTTGGGAGGTGCCCACTTGAGACAAACAGAGTCCACTGTGGGGAGAAGAGACATGAGAGGCAGGGTTGGACCTCTGGGCCTAGGCCAGGTTTCACCAGGTGAGAACAAGGACAGGCTTGATCCTGGGGAGGGGGCAGGGAAGCCCAGACATGAGTAGCCTGCCCCAGGCTTTGGTCCTGGAAGCTGGTCAGACTGGTTTCAGATCACGTGACAGCAAAAGGAGGCTAAGGCTCCTAGTCGTCCTTACACCTACCCCCGACCACACACGCCAGGAGCCCCCCACCTACCTGTTATGGGTGGTTTCTTATACTGAGCACTTTTGAGGTGCTCCTCTACTAGCTTGGGTGTGACACAGATGACATGCTGGCCTTTCCAGTACTTGACCATGTTGAGGGACTGCAAGGTGCTGATGATGTCATTCTGGGTGATGCTGGTCATCTGGCTGCAGAGAGGGATTGGAGCAGATGCTGGGAGAGTGCCCTTCGGGCTGGCTGGGACAGCAAAAGGGGACAAGGAGACAGGATCATGGCCAATCTTAGGAGAACCCTTCCCTCTTGAAGAACTCCAGGAAGCCTCCCTCATGAGATGACGGGGGTGGGGTCCAGGGCCCTCACCTAAGGTCCTTGATGGACAGCGTGCCTCGGAAGTCTCGTAGAATCTCCAGGAGGACCCAAGACCAGTAGCTGCGGTAGCTGAGCTTGCCAAGGTCGGACAGTGGCTTCTCAGGGGAGCCTACTGTGCTTTCTAGCTTGGAGAGCTCATAACCTGGCAGTGGGAAACAGAAGGTCCTAAAATCCCACCCCACCCCAGTACTTATCTCCACCACAGGGGCCCTTTCCGAGGGACAGAACGGGAGCCACTCACTGAAAGCAATGAGGAACTTCCCGTAGCCGCGGCGCTGGTAGGGAGGCAGGGTCAGGATGCAGGCCACGTTGTTTCCATCTGGAGACTCCTTCTCCTGCAGGGGCGAGGTCAGGACTCTGGGGGAGCTCGGCCCCTGCTCCAGTTCACACGCACTGCCCGCCCTCAACCTCGGCTTCCCGACCCAGTACCTTTGAGAAGTAGCCGACAATGTGGGCCCCCTGCCTGTCCACCTCAGTCAAGATATAAAAGACAAAGGGCTCCACGTCGAAGTACAGTGTTTTGTGGTCCAGGAAAAGCTTGGCCAGAAGACACAGGTTCTGACAGTAAATCTGAGGGGTGGAGAGGCAGAAGACTCAGGAAGCAAGTACAATGAGCCTATTGAGGCCTGGACAGGAGCTGCCACCCTGCTCTGCAAATGCCAGGCTCCACAGAACAGCCAGTGCCAGTCCGGTAACACTTCACCCACATCAAGTAATTCTTCCACCCACGTGAGGAGACAGTGCCTCCTCACCAGAACAGTAATAGCACAGGATTTCCGCAGGTGAGTGGGCACACGCAGTTCAAGCCTGTGTTGTTCAAGGCTATGTCCCCAGCACCGAGCACAAGGCTGAGCAAGAAGCCCAGTGCTTGTTAAATATTTGCTGAGTGGAGGACCTCGAGCCTGACTTCGAAGCCCGCAGTCTGCCCGCTCAGCCATGCCCCTTGCTGAGCCTCACCCGCTGCAGGCCCAGTCACCCATCCAGCCAGGGACAACGTCGGGAGGAACAAAGGGACCTTCAGGTAGGCTTCCTGGCACAGATCAAGGGTCCCTCTGGTGTATGATGCCTTTTATATCCACTCTCATTTGACCCAACAACTGTGTCAGCTCAGCATGACCAGTTCCATTTACTTAAAGAAAACCGAGGCTCTGGGAGGGGAAGTGCTTGTCTGAGACCTCAAAGCTGGCAGAGGGTAGAGCCAACAGGAATACCCAGGTCTCCCGGAGAGCCATTTCCACACTCGCCCTGTTGCTGCTCAAGAAGGCAGAGCAGGAGACACGGCTCAGTGGATATTCCTTCCCCAAGCAATTAGCACAGGCTGACTGAGCCACCACAGGTCACCAGTAATAAGGAAGGCCCATTACTAAGCACCTACTTGCTGCCAGGTACCGCGCTAAGTATGTGACATTGCTATCTCAGTTATTCCAACAGCCCTATTAGGTAAATATGGTCATGACTCCTGCTGTACAGATGAGGAAACAGGAACAAACAATGTTAAGTAATTTGTCTAAGGTCAGCTAGGAAGTGATGGGGTCAATGGAAGCCAGGAGCCACTCGAAGCGTGTCTCCATTAACTGTCCTTCCATAGGAAATGGGGACATTTGGTGCAACCTTCCCAGACTGACCAGGCAAAGGCCAGGTTCTTAACAGGAAAGCAGATCCCAATGCCAGAACCTGCCCCATTCAGGTCCGTCCACCAGGAACAAGGAACTGGGCCAGCAGAGCCACAGAGCTCTTGGACCGGAACCTTACCAAAGCAGTTCCCTCCGGGGGGGTGGGGGAAATGAGCAAACACCTTTTCTTCAGGCAGAAAGAGAAAGCCTTCTAGAAACAGCCTCGGGCATGACAATCTTCACTTCAAACCTCAACTACCCCATCAGCAGGAAAGTCCGTAGGGAGAGAACGAACCCCAATCCCCAAGGCTGGCACGGCAGGCCCACATGTTTACCACGCACCAGCCACAGGCCACGTGCCAGGGCACGTGTGATCCCTTAGGCCTCTGTCCTGATGACAGTGAAGGTTCCAGAGGTGCCAGCGCTCCCATCTCCCTACAGCCACGGCAGTGACCCCCAGCTCACCTTGTGGTCTTTGCCATCCACCTCGTACACAGAGATGTTGCTCTTGCGGTAGATCTCCTTTCCTGGGGGCTGTCGCCACTGGCACTGGCCCTGGGGTTGGAAGGGAAGAGGGAGGCTTGAGACCTGAGGTTTCCTGCCAGGTGCCCTGTATTCTGCCCCATGTGGCTTGCAGCAAATCTGTTTTCCTATATGTAGATTCTGGGCTCCACACTTCATCCACATCAAGTAATTCTCCCACCCGCCTGAGGAGACGGCGCCCATCTTACAGAGGACGACCCCAAGGCACACAGGGGCTATGAACCGGCTTGAGCAACACACAGTCGGACAGCTTGGGCCCAGGTCGGCCTGGCTCTAGAGGGCTCTGCAGGGCCCGATCCCTGGCAGTGGTGTTTCCTAAACTTTTGCCTCCGATTCTGTTCTTTGGGAAACATGCGCTGCATGAATAATGAGATGACCCCTAGCAGCTCGAGTGTACCAATGCCTCCCATCTGTCACTCCTTCCAGGCCCACCGCTCGGGGTCTATGCCCACTTCTGCTTTTGCACTGAGGAACCTGGCACTGAGCGGCTTTGGTACACATGTGCTGAAGGGCAAGGGATCCAAGGAAGGTGCAAGGGCAGGGATTACTGTCCCCATTCCACGGAGAAGGAAACTGAGGTCTGGGAGGGGCAAGTTGGCCTAAGTCGCTCCATCAAAACCACAGCCAGGCAGGAATCGGGGTCTCCACACCCGTCCTCCGCTCTGAACGTGCGGCTCTCCCAGCCATGGTGTCAGCGCCTCACCAGGTGGAAGCGGTAGCTCTTCTCGTACTTCATGTACTTGAGGCAGTACTCGCAGAGCCAGAGCTTGGGCTGCTTCCCATAGTCCTCAGGGAATGGAGAGAAGTACCAGGCATCGATTTCATAGTTCCCGATGTGTATCTTGTCCACATACTTCACCTTGGTGATCTGTGGAGGGCAGTGGATGGCTCCTTAGAGCAAGGAGAGCAGGGGAGATGGGGAGCCCAGTCAGGACCCCTGCCCCAGCTTACCGCCTCGTGTTCTTTCTCCAAGGCTGCTGTTGTAGGGTCCATCTCTGCATAGGTCTGGGCAAGGAAACAGCAGTGGACAGAGATGAATAGAAGGGAATCTCAGACTGTCCCCCACCATCCCAGAACCCAGTGCTTCCCTCCTGTCTTCCAGACCTCACATCCTGACCGACAATAACCATATGAATAGCCAACAGGTTCTACCTGGTTCTGAAGCTGGCTTGTCCACGCTCCTCTCCCATCTGCCCACCCACCCATATATCACTGACGTCCCTGACACCTGAGTTGAGACCTTTGGCCAGGTGAACAGGGCTAGGACCAGGACCCTGGGTAGTCCTGGGGCTGGTAAGAGCTTCAACTTTGCAGCGGGATCAGGCCAGCTCAGCCAGAGTTGTGGGAGATGAAATAATGATCTTGTCTTC